AGCGACACCCGCCGACAGCTGGAGCGAGCCATCGCCGGCATCGAGGGGCCTCTTCACATTGTCCAGGAGTGTCTCTACCACCGGGAGAAAAGACAAGGCACTTTATTTCATCATCATGCATTAAAATATTATCGCAGCATCAAGCTCTGGGGTAGATTTCGTAAATGGAAATTTAAGGAACGACTAAATTTTACCTATGATTAATTTTTTTTGTTTTATGACAGCATCATTATTATTAATATTGTTAAGATTTTTTAGTTTTTTTTTTAGTAACTATTATTGGTCTAAGTAAGTCAGTGGGGATGTACTGTAAAGAAGAAATTGAAAGCAAATTCTTAGCAAATTCTTACTGGTGGTAGGACCTCTTGTGAGTCCGGGTAGGTACCACCACCCTGCCTATTTCTGCCGTGAAGCAGTGATGCGTTTCGGTTTGAAGGTTGGGGCAGCCGTTGTAACTATACTTGAGACCTTAGAACTTATATCTCAAGGTGGGTGGCACATTTACGTCGTAGATGTCTATGGGCTCCGGTAACTACTTAACACCAGGTGGGCTGTGAGCTCGTCCACCCAAAAAAAATCAAATAAAAACTATTAGAAGTTTGAATATATTTTAGGTTTGGAGCAAGTGCACGACACGGTGGAGCAGTCCCTCCTGAAAGAGGTCGCCTTGCTGCGAGAGTGCCAGGACAAGTTTCGCAGCATGCTTGAAAAAGTAAGTAATTTTCGTGTCGATTGTCATAGTGCCGTAGCGGTTACCGACTCTGACTGCTGGGCCGGGGCTTGCGGTCTCAAATCCCACATCGGGCAAGCACTCGTGTGACGAACAGATTTGCTATGACTGTATGATTATTATCTCTTTATTTTATATACTTATGTCGTCCTACTCGCGTCGTTTCCGCACTGCTGAGGGTTGTGACCATCATGTTTCAGCAGGATTTTATTCCTTAATGTAACTCTAGCGCCTCCGATCATTGGCCGCTTGAAGGGCTTCGTGGAATGGGATCTCCGTGTGGTGCGGATTTGATCGAACCACCTCGTCGGGCTGCGCCCCCGTGGTCTCTTTGCCTTCCCATGGTCATGATTAGTTTCTCTACGCTATCGGGCGTTTTTCGAGACATATGACCGAAGTACTCGAGTGCGCGGCGAAGGCAGAGTGTGGACAGTATTGTCTTGACATACTTACTTAGGTACTGGGCCGTATCTGTACTTGTGTTGGTGCATACTGTATTGTGGTTTCCACAGTACACAGTATTCTACTCTAGGGCTAGATTTATCTCCAAGTTTTCATTTATTAATTTCAACTTCGGAAAAGTTAGAGAGGGGGGCGTATTCGAGTATAACCTGTGGTCCTTTTTTTTTTTCTACCTAAGCTGGTAGCCTTGAGAGGCTATTCCAGTGTAACCTTAACTAGTAGGTGAGTTCACGGGGCTCAAACCTGACGACGTTGCTAACACGAACCCTAGCAAGAGCCGTGCTTCGCAGAATCTACCACCGGATCGGAAACGCGACCCATTGAGAAGATCCGGCGAGAAACTCAGTGGGCTGTGTCTGAGGGTTAATTTACTCGTCGAGCCCGTCGTCGCAAGCGACGGGTTCGACGAGAACGGTGACCGGTGCTTGAAGTACCTAGAAGCATCGTTAGTGGATCGGGAGGATCCGAAATGACGTGTTTTGGGCGACGTCGACTGCTTTCCATTCTCCCTGTGGTCCAGGTGCGGCAGCAGTCCAAGAACTGCCGCGCGACGCAGCACGAGCTGGAGACCGACATGCGCAACAAGGAGTATGCGCTCGGGATCGACTCCATGTGTCACCAGCTCAATAACTTTTCGAAGGTACGTTCTAGACTAGAAGCTATTTATGTGTAGACGGGGCAAAGCTTTGAATCATTCATGTTTTAAATTACAAAGAACAATGTTAGGTTTTCAAGTGTTTGATAAAATCAAAAAATTGCTTAGACGGCGTGGTCTTTGTAAGGTTCCGTTAGATTTGGCTTAAATATTAGTGCTACTTTAAATTGACAACTAGCCTTCTTTGCTGTAAATGAGAGGTCCAGGAAATGAAAATAGAATATGAAATTTTCGTGACATAGGGACAATACGGCCGGTGCTCTCATTTGAACCGATGCGACTACGCCAGAGCTGATACCAATTATCCTAAAGAAATTAGCACGGGTTCATGAATGGCTTCTAAAATGAAGGAACAGCAAAACACTTTAACAATCGTGTAATGAAAATTAATCAATCAATGCAAAATTTATCAATTTTTGATGATGGGGTGTATTCTATGTTTACATGGGTAATTTTGCCTATTTCTACCTCAAAACTTTTCTGTTCCAGTTTGAAAGATGTAATTCAATTAGGTTTTTTTATTGCTTAGATGGGTGGACGAGCTCACAGCCCACCTGGTGTTAAGTGGTTACTGGAGCCCATAGATATCTATAACGTAAATGCCGCCATCCACTTTGAGATATGAGTTCTAAGGTCTCAGTATTGTTACCACGGCTGCTCCACCCTTCAAACCGAAACGTATTATTGCTTCACGGCAGAAACAGGCAGGATGGTGGTACCTACATGTGCGGACTCACAAGAGGTCCTGCCACCAGTAGTTTACGCAAATTAAATTATATTTTTTTGATTTTTATCACACGATATTATTCTTTCACCGTGGACGTCAATCGTAAACATTTGTTGAGTACGTATTTCATTACAAAAACTTGGTAACCACCTAGGATTTGAACACCGTTGCATCGCTCAACACGAATGCACTGGTCTTATCCTTTAGGCCACGGCGACTTCAGAAGCGGGTTGTTCAGTGAGAGAGAGGTAGAGAGTACAGTTGAGTCAGTGTGGCACGTTAACAACAAAGAGTGGGGTGGTTGCGCGCAGGGGCTGCAGTACTACGCCGGCATCGAGCGGTACGACCCCACGGTGTGCGACGCCGCGCGCTGGGCCGCCGCCAGCGCCGCCACCCTGCAGCGCTCGCAGTCCGAGCGGGCCAAGGCCATGCAGATGCTCTCCGGTACCGCACCTACACACGAAACTAGGCTTTCGATTCAAACCCCATTTGGTCAAAACTCCTTTACCAAAAAAAAATCTAGAATTAAACTCTTAACTCCATTTTCGTCGTGACTATTGAATGATATTTGAAACAAATTAATGTAATTGTACAGTACCTTAGAACCGTCTTCCCGTAAAAGAGGAGTAAGCAAAGAAATGGTATATGATAGAGAAGTATGGAAGGAGAAAATATGTTGCGCCGTCCCCAGGTGACTGGGAATAGGGCAAAAGGATGATGATGACCTCAGCAGCGTCTCAAGTGTGTGGTGTAAGCAGCGCTGTATTGTTGACAGACACGGAGAACCTGATCAGCGTGTCTGCGACCCAGATCTGGGACCAGTGGAGCAACACGAACAGCGCCTTCACCAGGCGCATCGCGGAAACTATAGAGATCAAGAACAAACTTCAACTGCATCTGCACAAGGTCAAGGGCTGATTTACCTTATCCGACCCGACGGGGCAACGCAAAGCCGCCGTCGCCCTAAGCATGTCATGTCNGACAGACACGGAGAACCTGATCAGCGTGTCTGCGACCCAGATCTGGGACCAGTGGAGCAACACGAACAGCGCCTTCACCAGGCGCATCGCGGAAACTATAGAGATCAAGAACAAACTTCAACTGCATCTGCACAAGGTCAAGGGCTGATTTACCTTATCCGACCCGACGGGGCAACGCAAAGCCGCCGTCGCCCTAAGCATGTCATGTCAGATCCCCCGGATTCACTCTCGGTGCTTTTAGGCCTCTCAAGCACCGATCACGGTCCTCGTCAAACTCATCGATTACGACGAAGAGTTCGACGAGCGAACTAACCCATAGACACAGCCCGCTGAGTTTGTCACCGGATCGTCAGTGGGTTACAATTCCGCCCGTGAGCTCAGGTGAGCTCACGGGTAGGTACCCGTCCGCATAACTGGAATAGCCTCATAGGCTACCAGCGAATAGTTAGGAAAAAAGAAGACTGTTTTAAGTTCGACATCGAAGCATTCCAACGGGAATTGTCATTTAAGAAAATATCGACTTGAACGTTCCATATTGATTTTATAAATGCATAGCTGAACTACATTTTTACATTTAAACTATCTATGTTTTTGTGATTTATGTATATCATATGTTTGAGCAGATGAATCAATAATTAAAAACGTTCTTAGTTCATTTTTTTTTGTTTATAGAAAGTGAGAAATACTCAAGTCAAGCAGTGCTTAGGTAGTTAGTTTACGATGAAATGAATTTATCTTTTTAACGTAAAATTTTTAGATCCAACAAGAAATATTTGATGTCGAAAAGACTCTGGCACTGTTGAACAAGGCAATCGAAGACAAGTTGCAGCCGCTGAAGGTGGCGCACACGAGGCTGCAGGCCAGGACCAACAGGCCTCACCTGGAGAAGTGTCGGGACGAGGCTCAGAACAGGTTAGCGTCAGTCGTGGATGTAGGGGGCGCGGGCGGTCACGGGAGCTGAGCCGGCACGCGACTGGGTTGCAGGCTGGTGCAGGAGACGTGCGACCTGCAGCAGGCCATGGAGACGGTGCGCGCGCGGCTGGCCACGGCGGAGGGCACGCACCAGAGCCTGCTGGGCGTGCGCGCCGGGCTGGAGGCCGAGCTGCGCAACAAGGCCGCCACGCTGTTCATCGACCGCGACCAGTGCATGGGCCTGCGACGCGGCTACCCCGTCACCGCCGCCATCAAGCCGTGACACCATAGTGCCGGTTTCATCATTACACTAAATATTTTATTTCCCTTTAAACATCTCTATCTTGTTGCACAAACGTTCATTGACACAACGATCATGAATAATTTTATCAATCGAAAAACCATGCTGTTTATTAAAAAAATTAATAAATATGTTGCGGGCAATTGTATTTATTTGTAATATCGTTTGTTTCTTTTTGTCTGAAATTTAAATAAAACAAATTCATTAAAAAATACTTTTTATTTTTTATTTTTAAAACAAAACAAAGCTTCGACTCACCACAAGAAAAACAATATTTTAAAAATTTCAAATTTTACATATATTTTAGTAGTGATTTACAAAAATTTCCATGTTCAATTATTTTCCTACTCTCTTAACCTGAATGTAATAAATCATTTCAAGTGTTCGGTTTGAAAATTTGATGAGTAGGTAGTACATTAAGTGCATTCAATACGCGCCCCATCTCGTGTTAGTTTTACCGTGACTGTTGTCCATTGAGTTCATGTGTAAAAATTTAGCAAACGACAGTGACTTCATACACCGATACACATTAATTAACACAGTAATAAAGGTATTACTTTAGAGTCATCTACTTAGTCTATTTAAGTTGGTGGTGTCTAAGCAGAACATATCTGATAATAGACGGTAGTTTGTGAATTATAATAATATAATATTTTATTGAATCAATATATTCAAATTTTATTAAAAATATTAAGCACGTATAAAAGACCGAAAAGTTTCGTTTATTGACCGCTCTTGTCAACTGCATCAGACGCACTTAAAAAGTAAAGTTCAGTCACACCTAAGAGCTTACACACACTTTTTTACATTATGGTACATTGTATTGTATTTATCTATAATTTTTATTAAAATCCCCATTTTAATTATATTAAATAACAAAAAACTACTCTACACAAAGTCATTAACAAAAACGCATTGTCCAATTACGAAAATGAAATCTTGGGATTGCTGTTTATTATTTATTAATAGAAAAGTCCATGACATTGATGTCAGCTGAACTAAATGTTTTACACAAAGTATTCTTTATATATCTTTATATATTATATTCTTTTCAAATGTTAACTATTTTATGTACAGACGTGTACTCATGTTATTAAGTGGCAGCCAAAGCCCATATACGATGTAAGACAACCTGATGATGTACAGTTGAAGTCTCAAATGCATGGGATTAATGATTATACCATATTTTAAAGCCGGTATGGTGGCCATCTTGCTGACTGAAAAAGTGGTTTCAATTCGACTAGGCTCATAGAACCATACCAACTTTGAAAATAGGAAATAAATGGTCAGTCAAATATACTGTGAGCTTGGCATTGCTGATGGCTGTGTGACTTACTTCCAGGTAAGTAAGTATTAAGTACCTCTAAAAAAAGCAATAAAATAAAGTGCAAACCTAATACAGGATAACTGTATTTTAGTAAGCACGAGTAAGGAGGAATTCTATTATTCATTTTGTAATACAAATCCAGGAGAATGTTATCCACAATTCATGATGAGCCATCCTCACTGCTTCACATATGATGGCACAGGTAACTTCATACCTTCCTTAGCTTCAAAGAATGTATATGACAACACAATCTCGTCTATAAACTCCATTTTGGGATCTTCTATATACTCTGGGTCAATGTAAAAAAATACTGGCATATCCACCTATTAGAATAAGAAGAAGAAATTGTATAAGAAACACTTTAATATATTTTACCCTTTAATTTTTATTTATTTAAATTGATTTATTTGTATGGTTGATTCAGTTTAACACTATTGGCTTTTGTGTTCTATGTAATTGTCAATCTAAATATTTAGTTTATCTAATTGGAATCTGGAATAATTTGCAGGATCAGTAAAATAAAGGCTAAGTGCTCCAGTATAATAGTACTTAGTGGTATTTTTTACTGGTTAAATGGGTAGCTGTGAGTGGGCTCACAGCCCACCTGTTGTTTAGTGGTTACCAGAGCCCATAAATATCAACAACTTAAATGCTAGCACCCACCATGAACTGAGTTCTAAGTCTTAGTTTCATAGTACAACAGGCAACCCACCTTACAAACTGAAACACATTAGAGTTTCGCAACAGAAATATACAGGGTGGTGGTACCAAACTAGGTAGGGTTCAATATACCTGACCACTGTGTCTGCTGATCCAGTAATAAAAATATGCTACTAATACTGAGATAATGCAGCTTCCCGTCCTTAATTTACAATATTTCATGCAATTAAAATATACTTAGTTTTTACCTGTTCATGTGGATTTAGTTGTTGTTCTTCAAAACAAAAGCACTGTATTTTGTTAAAATACTGACCAGCTTCAAATGGAATTACATTGTATGTACTGATCCCAGTCACTGCTTTATCAGTCGGATTGACTGCTGTATAAAATGCTAGTGCAGTTTCACCTGGTAATACCTGGAAAATATTTTTAGCATGATGTTCTTGTTTTTTAGTTTAGAGTTTTAGTTATGTAATGATAGAAGAATAAAGATTCAAAATATACCACAATTAAGAATACATAACAATACTCACTGTGATATCAGGTTGTTGAGGTTTAAAGTTCCATTGCATTGAAGAAGCTGTATCTGCATTAAATCTGACCTTTATGGGCCTATCTTTGATGGCTTTCATGTTACTAACTGCTTGATTTGCTTCAATTTGTCCTGTTGTGCCTCCATAGCTGTAAGCCTGTAACATTATTTAATATGATCGATGATGAGGATCGTTTGGAACCTCTGGGTCTGCGGAGGGACTTCGGTTCCCTCTGTATTTTGTACTGTATGTTCCATGGGGAGTGCTCTGAGGAATTATTCGAGATGATATCGGCATCTCGTTTTTACCACCGCACCGCCCGCCAGTCGGAGTAGAGTTCATCCATACTACCTGGAGCCACTGCGGTCATCCACAGTGCCCTTCCAGAGATCTTTTTTGCCACGCACCATCCGGCTATGGAATGAGCTCCCCTCCACGGTGTTTCCCGAGCGCTATGACATGTCCTTCTTTAAACGAGGCTTGTGGAGAGTATTAAGCGGTAGGCAGCGGCTTGGCTCTGTCCCTGGCATTGCTGAAGTCCATGAGCGACGGTAACCACTCACCATCAGGTGGGCCATATGCTCGTCTGCCTACAAGGGCAATAAAAAAAAATAATAAAAAAAGATCCTAGAAATTCACCTTGCAAATTAAAAAAACTGTAACAAACGTATGTTAATTAAACCTAAGCCCATAGAGATAGTGATGGATAGCGTTTCTGGAAGAGCAACATGTTGCACCTTATCTCTCACTTAATGCAAGGCACACATTAATTATATAATAAATGAAATAATTGTATGAACATTGCAAATAATGAATTTATAATACAGCCATTGTCACAGACGTTGGGTGATCACACCCTGAGTGGTAATTTCTTTACTTAGAAACTTCACTCGGTATATTCTTTTTTTACGATAACTTTGTTTGTCTCTGTTCATACCTGACAAAATATCCTGTATAGAGGCACTGCTGCGTAACTGAGGCCTACTGTCATTACTCCTAGAGCTATCATGTAATTTAACGTCGACCGGATTTTTTCCTTCTGATCGTGAGCACTACGGATGATAACATTTTGAAGCGGTTTCTTCGGTATTAGTATCTGATGATTTACAACAAAATTATACCTTATAACACTATAACAACATCTGTTCATTAACAAGACACGGTTCATTGTGACTATGTATTTATTTTTCATTTATTTATTTCAAATTTCAATCAAAATTTGATTTACATTTTTTAACTATCGTCCAGTTTTATGTCATAATGACAGATAGCCATACACAGATTAAACTTGATGACTTGGTTGTGGTGGGGCTGTCAGAGAAATGTTTTTAGATGACTTTTTAAATGTTTGCTTCAATTTAGACAATTAGTGTAAAATAACAATTTTTTTAGAAATGCTTTTTACGTGCAGTGATTATTATCCAGTAGGCTTTGGCTTAGATGTCCCCCTGTCAGTGCTGAAGTCCATAAGTGGTAGGCCGTATGCCCAGAAAAAAAAGAAAAAATCAACGGTTTAAATAGTAACGTGCTGCTTTGTGCCACTTGTAGCCTGGATTAGGTAATCCTTAGGTAGTAAAACCTTTTAATTGAACACGATAATTTATAAAAGTTTTTACTCGTTAAGCTGGATGGGAAAAACGGAGATTATATTTAAAAAATACACTGTTTTATTCAAAATCTTGCTACTAAAAATACAACATTTTTCAGTTAGTGAACTGTATTACGTTAATAACAGGGTTTTTAATAAAGATAACTTTAATAGACTTGAATTAAGGAAAATCTTTTTAAATTTTTATTATTATCTTTGCTCATGTTTAGAATTTGAAAAAATATGTATTAAGTAATTTGCAAATAACAAATTATTCTTGGTTTGATAGACTTTAGGTATGTTCTGAAGTTCTTATTTTTATCTTTTTTAAATCCCTTATTTTTTATTCTGTCTTCAATCTCCGGTCTTTAGGCTTAAATACAATAATAGCGGTTTATTGTGCTTTTATCAGTTATAAAGTCAAATGAAGTCCAAGTTAATGTATACAATTTACAAGATGATTCTTGAACACTATTAACATCCACTAAAAGATCGAATAGCCAATGGCCGTAATTAAATTTTAAGAAAGAAAAATACATATACCTATCAAACGAAAATTAGGAGTTTTTGGCGGGAGCTGGAGGAGTAAAGTTGTGTGATTTGTTTTATTTTGTCTATTTAGTGTTTCTTCAGGTTATACGTAATAATGGTAGTTAAAAGTAAAACAAAGTCGCTACACGTAACTTCTCGGGATTCTCCAAAAAGTCCACCGAGAAAATCTCAGTAAATGACCACCATTAAACTGAGATTATATTTCATCTCGTCTCATTTCTTGCCATGTTTCATATTAATTAATTTCATTTCTTTTCACATTATCATTTTTCATTAAATGTATATTATATAAAAGTTTAGGCTGTATGGTATGACACATTTGCCTTTCCAGTTGGAAAAATAAAACTACTATTAGAGGCCCGCGCAAATTTAAGTTCGTTTTTGTCGTGAAAAATACATAAAAATGAAACATTAAGCCTGAAACTAGTGAGTAAAATTTAATTCAAAATAAAACTGCCAACATTATTTACAAATATAATCTTTAATATCACAAAATTCAGTACCTACTTGTAAGTTTCCCTGCATCATCGTTTATACTCTAACGCCATAATTTTGTGTTTTGTCTTAATATGGGCGTCAGTGTGTGTTTTTTGGTACGCTTTATATGTGCAGTCTAGGAAGGGACAGCGGAACATTGGCTCCTTTCCGCATTCATAGGTCACGTGGCGCCTGTACGTGCTCTTGTGCCTGTATTTACGCTTGCACTTCTCACACTCATAAGACATATCGTATTGCGACCAGTAATTTTTGGTTTTCATTGGTATTAACGGCATCATGTTCTGTATCATTGTTTTGAAGAAATCCATTTCACCTGAAACAATTAGACCGTTTTTCTAAAAATGAACCGAGCTCATCTAAATAACGAAGCTACTGATGGACGCCATCTAAAACTTTCACAATTTATCTTACAACCGCCTTCCCCATTAAACTTATTATTTTTCCGCATAACTTGTAGGGGAACTCAGGTACAATAACAGTAAATTTTTAGTCATTTAGTTTGTTAAAAATTATTAATCATATTAAAACAAGACTAGAATTACTGTATTCAATACAAGAAATAAACAATACTAATAATGAATCAAGAACATTTATTCACATGGGTAATTCAGTTAAAAAGATAACACAATACACTCTTAATTGAAAAATACAAAACTTTATTCTAATTCTTTTGTGCTGTTCTGACTAGCGCTGATGCAGTTTGCGAATCAAAAACAATTACCAAAATTAAGCAATTAGGCTATCCTCCTCTTGAGAGTGGGTGTTTGCTATTTCCTAACTGCATTTTAGACTAGAGTACCCTCGAAGAGATTGAGTACGCCTCCTATTCCATTTGAATGTTTTTAAAAAATATATTTCACAATTTCAGTGGGGTCATTTCAAATTGTATATAAACTAAATATTGTTTTATAGCGAATTTGTAAACAATAAATTCCGAATGACTGAGCTAACATTTAGTGTTTAACACATAAGCAGTCAGTGGACAACANTGCATTTTAGACTAGAGTACCCTCGAAGAGATTGAGTACGCCTCCTATTCCATTTGAATGTTTTTAAAAAATATATTTCACAATTTCAGTGGGGTCATTTCAAATTGTATATAAACTAAATATTGTTTTATAGCGAATTTGTAAACAATAAATTCCGAATGACTGAGCTAACATTTAGTGTTTAACACATAAGCAGTCAGTGGACAACAACGTAGGATGTATACTATTTTGGATCTATAATCGAGGGCACCCACTGGTTATTTTTAGATTATGAAATGAAATACATAAAAGTCCTATTATTTAATCAAATTGTGGTATGAGAAGACTGCAAACATTGTTTATATTTTTATTATCTTGATATTTTAATATATGATTGGTGATTCCAAAAATGACATGTAGGTATGGGAACTCTTACAAGACGAAACTCTTCATATTTCTAGTTCAATATAAACACAAAACATTTCTCGTTTTCAAAGCTAATCATATGTATTAGTCTGCATACTTGGCTTTATCGTTTTAACAAGTCCAGTGTTCTTAGTGCGAGTTTTTTACGTTGCCGTTGTCTATGGAGTTGGAACGTTTGCCGCTAGGGGCGCTGTTCCTACTGCATACCTACAAATTTGAGTTATTTTTTACGCTATCGAGAACATTAAAAAACTCGCACTAAGCACATAGGTTTCGTGAACTTGGAAATGTACAGTGATAGTATTTGGAGGACGTCCTCCGGCGTTGCAAGAAATCGTTAACTGCGCGTGTCAATTGATTTTTGTATTTCCATGCGTAGAGTTACATAGATATATAACATATTTTTATGTTATAGTCGTGAGTCAGCCGTACTTAAGTACCCTTTCGTTTTCGGGAGTGGTTTCCTTACACCGTCATGGTAAAATTTAAAGAAAAATATATTTAAACTTTTGATTCGCAATCGCATTTGCTGTCTTAATTTATATAACTGATATGATTAATACTGAATTATTTTTAACGTGAACACATTAAATATCTATCTATAGGGTACCTTGGGTATTTTTTTTAATCGAAATACATTAATATTATCAATATTAGGCACTACACAGGGCTTATATACTTATACCAAATTAAATATGTAAACAAAAAATGATTCTATTAATCTTTGGATATATTACATTCTTTGGCGTCTAGAAACAAAAATATAAGTATTTGCATGTAAAACAAGTTAAGTTAAGTTAAAACTATATTAAACGCACGTTTGAAATATTTATCTCTTTAATATAAGTATTTCGTTCCAATGTGCGACAAAGACATGATACAATAAAATTGTAAAATTCCTTGCTATAAAAAATATTATGAACTACGATGTGGCCAACTGCTATTATTATGTCGTCGATGGCCACTGGCAACACTGGCAACAATGGCAATGGCAGCACAGAGAAGCTGCTCAGAGCACTTTTAATCTCGGCGAGGAAGGGCGTGTCACACACGCAAGCACGTGTGACACTAGGTATATAAAATACCGAAGATGTAGATTTTGTTCAGAGCTTCAGTTCAGATAATATGAAGTGAATGATGAGATAAAAAGTAGATGTCGGTATAATTTTTAGCAGTGTAGAGTTTAATGTAGTTTCACCTTAACACATGACGGGTTAATTTCTAAACTACGTTGTTGGTGGGTTTCTAGGTTAAACAATCATAATAAAAGTCTATTCTAAACTAATTTCATATCGTAAAATCGAACTCTACACCGTGAGGTGCATTTAAGAATTGATAAAAATCCACTCGTTATTCTCTAACAATTAACTAATACAAGAATAAAAACTTAATAATAACCATAATAATTTACTTAACACGTTACTTTTAATTTTAAAAGGCACTACATTTAAGGCTACGAATCCATTTATAGATTCTTTGGTAAAAAATATTGCGCATTTCATTTATTTTGAACTTTAAAGGTAGCTTATAAAATAAAGAGTAACAAATGCAATATAACAGATAAATTGTTCTTTCAACAGAGATACCTAATATTTATTTACTTTGTATATTTTGTTACATTTTTATAATTTGGTAACAAGGAACACACACTAAACAAACATTAATAACAAGAAAATATAACAATTTATATTATGCGCTACTCTTATACTGATATAAAAACAAAAAAGTTAAGTCTTACGTATCTAAGCTTTCTTTTTTTATTAATTCTAATAAACGTTTTAAAATGGTAACTTTTTAGTTGTAGTCAATGTGGGACAAGCATGTTGTTGTAATAATGCATATAGACACAGCACAGAGTCACTAAAACTTGACAAATGATACAAGTGAGCCATACTATTCGACAACAGTGTGCTTAGTGCGAGTTTCATAACGCTCTCGATAGCGTAAAAGTTAACCCAATTTTGTATGCAGTTGGAACAGCGCCCCTAGCGGCAAACGTATGCAAACGATCCCATTCCATACAAATATGAGCTAGCTTTTACGCTATCGAGAACGTTAAAAAACTCGCACTAAGCACACAGATCTCGTCCTTCGACTTGGAAACTTTACAAAACTGTGGTATATAATGGAACTGCGGTATATAAATTTGAAATGGACCAA